GAACGTAGGATGGGAAACGGTATATAGCGGACGTGATACGAGAAACCGCGAGGAAAATTTTCAGCTGGAAATAATCTACTCAGGATGGAGAAAGACCTTGCTCAGCTCCCAAATAAGACCCTCCGGGCTGGGGATATCCAAAGTGCGACCTGCCTTGCTTCCAAGACACAACGTGCCATATTCCATTGACTGTCAAGAGTACGAACAAACGTTCAAACAGTTGTGATAATATCTTCTCGTCTCAGAAAGAAGAATTTGCCTTTTTTTCAAATTCTGATAAGCGGGTTGAAAAGAGAGAGGGAGAGAACAGAGAGAGGTTTTCTCCGAAGTGCGATTTGTTCGAGGTTGAATTATATGCTCTACCTCGAGCCAGCCCATTGCCGCTTTTTGGTGCAGTATAAGCACCACTTCTCATTCGGTGTGGATGTCACTCAGTTCTGCCCACTAAAATTGTGACCCTGAAACCTTGAGTGGACAAACAAAAGCGTGGCACACATGGTGCAGACTAATCCCTCAGTAGAATATACGCTTTTTGACGATGTCTAGGATTCTCATAGAAAATAAATTAGAATTATTTTCAGATGAAGCTTTGGATATCACTTAGCATTGAGACACTTGAGCCAATGAATAAATAAAAAGAGTATAGTTTTAAGGCATTCCGTTTCGCTCTCAAGAGTTCACGGCGGCCACCTTACAAAGAAATACGGCTGATGAGTCCAGCCCCGGTTACTTTGCTGTAAGGAACTACCTCATGGGGAGCACTGTTATCCCGACTCACTTCTGCAAAAGCTGTACAGACCTTTCTTTCAATGTGTACATTACCCGAAAAAACCACCTACAGTCTCGTTCGCTGCGTATGATGAGGCGTGTCAGTGAGGCTGAGTCTGGCGCGCCGCCAGCCCTTTTCCACTAGTTGAAACGGGTAAACGTCAACAGTTGGTGGACGACGACTGATACGAACGATAGGGTACTGTCTCGTTTAGGGAACTAATGGTGTCTATAGTGAACGCTACATAAAGAGTACAAGCGGAATAACCAGACAAGAAATGTCCAAAGAATAACAATACAGCCCTTATAAAGTCAGATGAGGTGTTACTCACTGGTTACTTATCAGTATTTATTACCTATTACTCATTGTGTACCAGGCCAAACATCAGTGATATGAGACGGGCTACAAAAAAGTCTAGCCCTCAGATAGTGCTACAGGAATGGTGGAGGCATTGCTCATAGCATTTCACAACTACTGGTTATTACTACTCGTAGAGGTAAAATACTGATAAAGACAATAAATGCATTAGTCACGCACTACTTATCAGCATTTATTACTCACTACTTCGTGTGAGGACCCACGGATAAAAGAAGTAATATGCTCTGAAAAATGAAACTAACATTCAGATAGCACCACTAAATGGCCGAGGAATTACTCATCGCTCTTCATAGAGTAATTGCTCGCAGTAACAGCAGAGAAACGTAACGGCCTCCTCCGCTAATCAGCCCCTTTTTCAGGATGCGTCACGCATCCCACTAACGACAAGAACCGTAGTGGGTATTTGAATGCGATCGAGCCTATACAAAGAATTCCCAAACGTCAGCCAGCGATTAAATCCAGCGTTTTTAATATTCTAGGAAAGTTTGGCACCGCACAGTTGTCTCGGAAAAGATGGTAGAGCTGACTGTTCCGAGCGAGAGCCGATCTGAGCAGTGACCACCAGACCAAGAGCGTGGAATAAGGTGCCGCTTGGTGAAGGTTCCCAAGCGCTGATGTTTCTGTTTCCTCAAAACTGTTACATTACCTTGTTATAGCAAAAAGCTTTTTAGTAAATCCAGTGCATAACATTAAATTGGCATGTATGTATGCAAGAGGTGGAGGTGGTGTGATGGCACGCCTAGGCTGCTTTCATACTTTGCGGCAGCGTCCACTAGCGTTCCGAGCGTCCGGCAGCGTCAGCGACTGGGAAAGTATAGATATCGATCTAGCGTCTGCCAGCGTCAACCAGCGTGCACCAAAGATTCCTTGCGTTCCGGGCCTGTGAAGTATAGTTATCGACCGACCTAATGTCTACCAGCGTGTGCTGCACCAGCGTCTACCAGCGTCCGACAGTATTGAGAGTATGGCGCGATAGGAGGGTAGCGTACAGCTGGTACCCTCTTATTACGCCATACTCTCTACCAGCTGTCTGCTACCTCCTGTTGCGCCATACTCTCCTATTCCAGCCGCTGGTGCACGACGCGACACGCTGATAGACGCTAGATCGATATCTATACTTCCCAGTCCCATGAGACGCTAGCGAACGCTGGGAGACGCTGGTGCACGCTGGTCGACGCTAGATGGAAATCTACACTTTCCCAGTCGCGGACGCTGCCGGACGCCGAAACATTAGTGGGCGCTGCCGCAAGGTATGAACGCACCTTACCTCGCGCGCGGTCCAGAGAACGAACTCTGGATCGGCTCCGCTCAGGCCAGCGAAGCTTTCTATCCACCGGCAACAGTAAATTGGTACCAGATTCGTTTTAGAGGACAAGAACACTAGTTCGTACATCAGCTGACCGCCCTAAGTCACTACAGGTCGTAACTCAACAAGCACTCAATAAGTTACTACATTTCTAAGTGGAAATAGAATGCGTGCCGCATCCTAAAAAGGGATTGATTCAAGGCGGTCACTTTATCCTTTTTATTCTGATCAGTGAGGATAGTAAAATAGAGTAAATCCTACCCAAGTTTCCGTAATTTCGTGAAATTTCAATGAAACTAGTGATACGATGAGACTAAAGCATACGAAATTCCCTGAGAAAACCCGTTACAAAAAAAACTATAGAAAATACTTTTCCCAAATTCCCAAATAGTACAATGAGTCTACATCTTTCTCTCACGGAAGTAAACATGAAAGCGAAAAATATGAGTGTGTGAGAGGGAAATGTAGAAGAAATCAAATTTCAAAGGCACAGTCATGCTGATCGCACGTAACGATAAAGCACGGCTCCTTCTGAACGATGGTCGCTAACTCTCAACGTTTACAGGCGGTGTAACATCGCTTTTATTATCAAACACTGATCTTGAAGGAATAAAATTAGAGAACCAAAGTAAGAGATGAAAGTGACAGATATTATCGGGTTACTAGGGAAGTCTCCGCAGAATATTTCTCATTTTCATAGCTTCTTTTTCTTTCTTGATCCCCTACAGTCGATTTTGATGTCGCATAGCGCTGTGTATAAGGAATCATTCCATATACGCTCTTGTTCGATGCGGACGCTGGTGGCATGTTAGGGTGGGAGGGGCTGGGTTTGCAATTGGTGGATAACCGGCTGGCGCGGTGCTA